TCGTGGCTTTAGGGGATTCTTCATTTGGGGCTTCGGGCTTCGCATTCTCGTGGATTGAGGTCAGGCTTGATCCTTGGACCCAGCCCAAGCGGGCAACGTAGAGTGCGGATCCACGACAGGACAGTGACACACAGGATGTTCATCGAAAGCAGTTGTGTGCAATGAGGTTTCGCTGTTTGTGATCGGTCTGTTTGCTTGCTTTCTGCTGCTGGGCATACCTTCATGGGTTTTCCAACGCCCGGTGAAGTTCTAAGCATAACTACGAGAAGGTCCGAATACTTCCCTCCGGGATCTGGGAAAAGCTGGACACATGATCCAGAATGGCAATCTACCCCGAGGCACAATACACGCAGGACCTTAACCTAAGTGCGTTACCACGATTTGCAGACCGTCTAAGGACGCGTCTCGAATTCCCAAAGCCTGAGCTCTTTGATGTAGATACTTGGTTAAAATATATTCCCTATAAAGGTCCGAATAATCGGATCGCTATCATTGTGGGCCCTGTGAAACGAAGCAAAGGAGGGGGCTGACCCTACAAAGCCCCTTCCCCATGCCTTAAAGAGCTTGGAGCCCCCACATCCTACACGGGTTTAGGGTTTAGGGTGCTAAACCCCACACCCTAACCCAAGTATGACAGTTTTGCAGAATCCCGAACCATGCTCCCTGCCCCTGAGATCCCTCTGGGCCCGACCTTTTCAGCTTATGCACTACGGGGCCATGAAAAATGACCAATCGTATCCTTCGGGGTTTCCCAAATATGTTCAACGTCGACAGCCCCGCCAAACGACCTATATTCGGTGAAGGGTTGAAGCGCTTGTGGCTTCGAACTTAGAACCCTCGAAACCCTAAACTGAAACCCTCTAAAACTCGGTACATGCCTCTGAAACCCTAAGTCAACACGGAAGCAACAGAAAGCCAAACGGCTCTGCATCTGAGCAGGGCTTTGAGGTATACTCGATCCAGCCCTTCTCTGCGCAGTGCCCGACGACGAAGATAACAACTGCATCCAGGACCACATGGAGAAACAACATCAGGCGTAAATCCGTACATCGTAAGATCTCAAGCTTCAAACCAAGGGCGTGGGAAACACGACTTTTTGATCGAGGTTCAACTATTCGGGCACGATGTTTCGTCACTGGTCCGTTTATGGGTTTTGGGACAGACAAAATCCTGCTATACCGGGTGAACCGCTCTTCATCGGCAGACTGCATGTCCTTTGGAACACAATACACGCGTAAGGGTCAACATAATGCTTCCACGAAAATTCGCAGTCTTGTTCAAGTAGCTGGGGCTTCAGGAAACGGGAAACTCTAACGTTATCCCGAAACACTTTAAGAAAAAAACAGCATAATGCACGCAAAAGGTATCCCTCCCGTCACTACCGTCAGAAAGTCCTGAATGAAGACGTCCTCAACACAAATGGCTCCGAAAGGAACCCTCCAGATAAGATTGGCGATCAAGGTTCAAGGCTCACGCTCTAGGTTTAAGCTTTAGTGATGGAAAAGTTGATGGTTTAGGGTGCGAACTCAGCAAAGGGGCACTGGCTCGGGTGCTCCCCCGCCCATTCAACCTGGTGCGACAGAGAGTGGCATTTCGTTTGTTTTGAGGAAGCGCTGGTGATTTGCAGTGGAAAACCCAGATCTGCACATAAGAGTCTCAAGCGTACCAAGAAGATGAGGTGTTCGAAGCCTGATGCGCAAATCTCACAACTGCTGCTGGACACACGCATCAGATGAAAGTCGGAAAGTCTCAGCGGTGAGTTCATGTTCAGCCTACATCATCCTTTCCGGGTTAACATTCGGAATGTCCCAACTAAGCACGGCATTGCACGGTAGCGTGTAACACGGTGTAACACAATCTGAATAGCATGCCACAAAGCACACCGTTACGTACAAATGCATGATCTGGCCTAACATGACTGCAGAGCACCACTGTGCACAAATTCCAGCAGGTCACAGTTTGAAAGGTGATATACTAAATCTCATCGCAGTTCAGAAGGCATGATAGCAGCAAGCCAGAACGTGAAGACTGTACTGCCTCCTGTGTGCTAACCAGCATGACACCTTGTTGCGGGCTCTTTTGAAGGAACAAATTTTATCGGAGATAACCAATATACAAATCACTTTTTCGTACTGTTGGAGCTTGGACTAAGTTAAAGAGCCCGTTTCTAGTTTATGTTCAGGCGGCATTTAATTGCACCCGCCTGCTACCTATCGGCTAAATCCGTCCCAAGCTCCGTGAAATAGCTTACAAGCCAAACGTAGCAACCTGTCGGCTGGTTAATTAGATCCGGCCGCCTTCCTGATCTTGAATTATATGCCTTCATCTCCAAAGGGTTTATGCACCACCCCTCAGAAATCCTAAAAACCTACACCCACAAACACTACAACCAAGAATCCCTGCTATGAGCCCCAAGTCAGACTCCAGAATCAACCTGACGCTAATCACCACTGAGGGTTTGTATTACACCAACTATGAAACATGATCCTTGAGGGGCACCCACTTGCCTCCAGAATTCTAAACCTTAAACCGACTTAATCCCTAAACCCACCGAACCCAAGAGTCGCCAAACCCGGGGCCAAGCAACCAGCAGGGGAAGCTCTCCACTCAAAGGCTGGCTGGAGACCCAATTCTTGGATCGCCGGAACGGCATGCGGGATGTTGGGTTTCTGGTTTGGGGTCGGGATATGCAAGCCGTGGGGTTTGCGATTTTGGAGGCTTGCGGTTTAGGGTTTGGGGTTTTACGGTATGGCGGCGGAAAGTCTCGATTCTTGGGCCTTGAGGGCTTTAAGGTTTGGGGCCTTCAAGGATTTAATTTAGGCGCTCAGGCTTCATACTTTAGGGAATCAGGCTGCTCGCCAACCCATGTGTGCCCGGTATTTGCCTGGGTGTCCAAGGTTCAGGCTTGCTTGGAGGGTCAGGGGACGACTTAACCGAATTAGCGGTCATCCTACTTGTAACTCTACTTTTGCACCAGCTGATAAAGCCTTCATGATTGGTTTTCAGTGTGGACTGGAGATGCCGGTCTGCCTGCTGACGTGTCGTTTCCGAAAAGTAACCGCCCGGTTGGTCGGAGACATGCGTGCACGCTACAGTAACGGCATTTGTGTATAATTTCAAAGGGGCACCACCATGTCTCCAACAAGGAGAACTGCTGACACAGGACACTGTGAACATGAACGCCTTCTCATTCCAGACCTGCGGCAATTGCAACCGCTTCTCTTATTCGCCACCCACCCCCCACTCGAAGCGACTTCCATTCGCCGCCTCCCGCCAGCGTGTCAAGTTCAGGAATTGTCCAATGTCGAGTGTCTTTTTGCTCAGGAAAGATGGGTCAAAGGTGGGTCTTGGTTGTGGCATCCTTGTTGCAGCATGAGAAAAGGATGTCAGCCACGTCGTGGACCAAATATCGAAGCACTTCCGGGCGGTGGCAATGACTCATTTGACGTCCTGATCTGGGGATCTGGCACTGCCTGCTGGGCTGCGCCGTGCGAAGCACACTGGCAGAAGCCCGAGAACTCAGAGGCACACAGACTGAAGTCACTTCCTGCACTCGTGGCTGCATTATCCTGAACCCACTCATCCGACCAATCCCACGCAGGCTCAGCAATGGGGGCATCGCGCACGCCTTCCGTGGATGCAGTCAGAGTTTGAAGTCGTGGGTGTTGAAGGCACGCAAAGGGTTCCGCGGCATATTGCCTCTTAGCCCATAAACTCGAATAAACTCGAAACAAATCTGAAACCCTGTTCCCAAACGCTATAGGCCTTACATCTCAACCTCTCGAAGCCGAAACCCTTACACAACCTGAACCACCCCAAACCTCAAACCCTAAAACCGAAATCTGAATTGATGCAAGGCCACCAAGATGGCTGTTTCTCCATGGTGGAAGTGGATCCTCGCTTAAGGCTTGAGGCTTAGGGCTTCAGGTTTGAGGCTCGCGGTTTAGGGTTGAGGGCTTATAGGCTTAGGGTCTATTGTTTAGGGGTCAGGGTCTGGAGCTCAGGGCTGAAAGGGTTTAGGGCAGTCGGGCTTTGCACAAACAGGAGGGCTTCTTCAGCTCATAGACCTTGGAGGGCCTGTAGGTGGCGTGCCTGCTTGAAGAGGTTTCATGCGGGAAAGGGCATCCTGCAGGCAGCGCAGACCCTCGATTGACAAAACCGGCGCGACAGGGCCCTAACTGGTAGCAGGACATTTGCTAAATCCTTGGTCAGGTGGGCACCATTGATCGAGGATCTAGATCTAGATTTAACTGCCATTAGCCCTCGTCTCCCAACTTGGCGTCGTCCTGCACGCATAGGCTACAAGAATTCTGCATTCTACCTACCTCCGAGGGAGGAACAAAATTTCTGAGGCCCGGGTTGAACACCTGACAAAGCCCCATGAAGCATTTCAAAAACTCATCTAGACTGGCTGCGAGAACCCTAAACTTTGGAACCCAAACCCAGAGCATCAAACCCTGAGCCCTGGTATTGAACCCCGAAAGCCAGGAACTCATAGCCTACACCCCAAACCCTAACTAAACCCTGAACCCCCTAATCCTAGACCCGAAGGTATGCCCTGGAAACTTGCATCCCCAAGCACTAAACTTACCTAGCACACCCAGTCGAAGTCCTAAACATAGCTCTAAACCTCAAAACCCCAAACCCAACACCACCCTGCGCCGTAAACTCCAAAAACCTAGCAAACACCTGAACCCCACACTCCAAAATCGTGCAACCGGAACTCCCCCAAACCTGAACCTCCCCTCCCACAGGCCTAAAACCACTGAATTCCCAAAACTTGAACCGGAAACCTCAAAGCCCTGGAGCTCTCGACTTCGGACACGAAGTGCAGCCCAGTCACTCTTTGTTCATCCCCTGAACATCCTTGGGCCCCAAACCAAAAAAACCTAACCTAAACCCTGAACCCCATGAAACCTAAACCCCAAAATCGAAGCCTAAAACACAAAGGCCTGAACCCAAAGCCCTTCGCCCCTAAGCCGTCGATGCAGCCCCGTCACTCGCCGCCGGTTTTCACCAGCCGGAGATCAAAGGATCGCGCCCCGCAGTCCAACTGCTCCTTGAGGCCAATTGCCTGTGCCTGCTCGTGGTCTGTTTGCTGCTTTGGGGTTCAGAGGGGCAGGGCTGAGGGCCCCGGGCGTCAGGGTTGGGGGCTTAGGGCTTTGGATTTAGGGTTTCGGGTGCAGGGCTGTTGTAGAAGGATGGGGAACCTTGGTAAGATCGAGTTTATATGTTGGGGGTGGGGGGGATCTCTACCACGGTTTCTGTTTCTGGCTGAAGGCTTTTGGGCTGCAAGGCCCTCTTCGGAGTTCTTGCCTGCTGCGGCCAAAAGCGAAACCCTCGAAGTCCTGGTTACTTGGGTTCTCGCACTTTGTACCGGTGAGGGAATAATTCGAGAGCGGTCGTGAAGTAAAAGCTATACTGCAGTAAGAGTATACAGGCATGACAAGGGCCACGGATACTATTTCAGACTTCCATTTTGCAAAACCCTGCAGACCACTTACCCCTAACTCGAGCAAAAGACACCCTTAAAAAGTCTTCTACGTGGAACACTTTCAAACAGCAAAACAAATGCAAACTCAACTAAAACCTTTACGTGAAAACATATACCTGCACATGATAAGCAACAAAAGCAATACCGTATGGGGGATATACTTGGCTTTCTGGCTATGGGGTTATAAAAACTTGAAAAAAAGGCCAGAACTTAGATCTTCTGCCAGTGCAGTGTTGTAACCACTACGAGTTATCATTGTCTTCCCAACATTGCACCCTTGCTAGCCATTGCGGTTCTTGTGCTGTTGAAGCTATGACTACCAATATAATGTTGAGGACGTTCGCATTTGCTGCAACACTGCCCATTGTGCCTAGTGCGTTCTCCGTCTCGTCCGGAGCTCTGAACCATCGACCCGTCACGCCTACTACACCCTAAACACTTAAACCCCTGTAACCCCTCAACCCCAAGCCCTAAGCGACCCCCAACCAAGCTTCAGAGCTCTGGCTCTGTTCCTGAGCTCTAAGACCCTGGAAACCCCCCAAGTCCTCAGCGCTTAGGGGAGTCGTTCCTAAGCCATTGTTTGCGGAAGCTCAGTGGATTGTTGCTCGGGGCCTCGGGGCTTTGAGTTGGGAGCTTGGGACTGTAAGTCGTGGGCTTACATAGAGTTCGCGAACCTCCGGACCTCAAACCCTAAGACGACGCCTGCCCAAAGGCGTGGTCGAAAAGATCGTATGCACTGATGAAGCCAGTCGCAGAGTCGTGCGTCATCAGGAACGGTGACTCTGACAGCCTCACAGCACCTATCATCCCCCAACGCCAAAAAAATCCCTGAACAACTACACCCCTAAGCCCTCAACCCTCAGGTAAAGAGCCAGATTGCAGGCTCTACCGCAGAAGCTTGTGACTTTGAGGCATTCAGATCACGTTCCCTAAGCCCTATAATCCCTAAACCCTAAGCCGGGATGCTTTGAATTGAGATCCGGCTTGAGAGGGCCCATTGCACCAAGAGCAATGTCGCCTCGCTTGGCCGTGATGAAACGCTGCAGTCTTTCAACTTGGGGTGTGTAATCCAGAAGATCGGGGTAATCGTCCATGCATATGTATATGATGTATAGAATGTGAAATATTATATAGCAGTATATACACACGGAATAGTCGGATCCTCATAGTATGACCCCTGAATAAGGCACCCCGGAATTTCTGAACCCCCGTCAAGTTTTACCCAGCTTCTGTAATCCCCAACTTTCAAGGCGGAGAAATTGAAGCGTTAAACCCTGTGAACCAACCAGCCATTCTTATACGGGCTCTGTCAAGACCCTACAAGACTCAATCAAATTAACAACCATGAGCCTACATTACAAAGACAGCAGATTAAAACAACAAACAACTCGAAAGTGGTTAGAAAAAAAAAAAGCAAAACTACCCACAGTTCCACAGTTACAAAGTCGATTTAAGCCTGGCATGACCCAGAAATGCCTTCAAACATGAGACGTCACATTGATTTTGTGGCTTTAGGGCCTGTTTTGTGGTATACCCGACAAACCCTGAACCTCTAAACCGTCAAACCCTAAACCCCCAAGGCTCAAAAGCCCAAAAGTCTCGAAGTCTTTCGGGAGCTCCCAGTGGGGTTATAGGGTTCTGGGTCGAGGCTTGCCTGGCTGGGCAGCTTCCCTTGAGCGTTTGCCGTGTTGTGGAGTTGAGTGAGTTAGGGGGGGGGGGGGGGGGGGGGNNGGGGCAGTTTAGGCTTGTTTGAGGCGTGTGAAAGTGCGGGTCTGTTGTTGCCGTTGCTGCTGCTGCCGGCGGCGGCGGTGGTGGTCCGTGCGTTGCTTGCTTTTGCTGCTTGGTTCCTTTGTAATTTTGAGGTTGCGGGTAATGCTTTCTGTGCTCACAGGGCTTTGCCCTTGAATTCAGGATCTGCGGGTTTAGAACGTTGTCGGGCGTGGGGTTTGGCTCTGCGCTTGGGGATTCAGGCCTTCCGGGAGCTCACGTCAAATCCTAAACTCCAAAACACCACCCCGAGAAAGTCGGAAACCCGAAACCTCACCAGCCGGGGTCCCACCCCGAAAGCCCTAAACCTCAATTCCGAAAGGCCCCAACATCCTACACTTTAAACCCTAACGCCTTAAACCCTATGAACCCTAAACTCTAAACCCCAAAATCTGTCGGAAATCAGAAACCCCAGGTCCCTGAAAAACCTACACCCACAAATTCCGAAACTTTAGGGTGTCCCGACAACCCCAAACCCCGAAACCTTAAACTCTATCCCGTGCTAGAAGGGCACAAGCGCAGGCCCAAGCCGGTTCTCCGCGCTGTCGGCGTCGCTCGCAGGGCTCGCCTGAAAACGTGCTGCCAGAAAGGGGGGCATGTCAGTATCCTCATGTGGGACACTGGGTTGTAGCTTTGGGGCCCAGCAAAATATTCATGAATAGGTACCTCTATAGGAACCAGAAAGGAAGTGTTAAAGGTTCCCAGATTGCCACCTAGGATATGCATAGAGAAATCTCATCCTTCTAAACTACATGCAAAGCTCTGAAGGTCCTTGCCTTGACGGGTTTAGGCCTTATACATCAGGACTCTGCCTATCCGATGTGGAGGACCCTGGCAAAACTCTTGTAGGCTCATGGATTTCAGGTACTTGACGGGCAGCGTTTAGGGCTTGGGACTTTTGCAGGAGTTTATGAATAAGGTTTCGGGGTTTGGTTCAGGATAGTTCAGGGTTGCTTGGCACCAAGGTGCTTGTCCGGTTGGAGAAGCACAGCCCGCCCAGCATGCCACAGGCCTGCTGCAGACATTACATTCAGGAGTCCCCCGATGCAAAGAGATCGAAACTGGCAGACTTGACCGCTACAGTACGGCTTTGTTGGCAGCAGGTTCTGTGTGGTCTTAGATCACTCGGAGCTTCTAGAGATCTGGGTCTAGAGCTCCGCTCAGATCTCAAGCTTCGGGTTCCGGCCTTGTTTTTTTGGGCTTCGCACTTCGGGGTAGAGGGGTGTGGGCTTCGGGGTTTTGGGTTTTTCCGGGTGAAGGTTTGTAAGAAAGGGGCAGCCTTGTCGACACCTGCACACCATTCGTCCCCAACCCGGACACTTCCAGGACGAACAAACGCAATAGATGCTTCGAAGGGTCCAGGACAAACATGTCGGTACAGCCAAAAAACATGCACCTTCGAATTTCAACGAGGGGTCATGGGGCTCCTGTCAAGCTTCGCATCTGCCAAGGTATCGCAGCTCAGCTCTGAAGCAATCCAACTCTTTGATGAGAAGCTTTCTTGGTCAACTGAGAAAATGAAAGCACCGTTCTGTCGCGTTGCTACTATCTGTAACTTACTGGAGTTTGGAAAGTCGCCCGATCTTGGAGACATCTGATGGATTTACGACAAGACCCTTCTACTCATAGCAAACTCCGAGGATTCTCGTAAAATGGCGAAGAAAGCCTCGGTGCAGGTGTAGTTTGCCGCAACATTCGTCTCCTCCCGGCGGGCAGACTCCTCTGAAGCAGCTTGGCTCGACGTAACTTGAAGGCTTGGGATACGAAGATCTTTCGAAAGGGCCTAACAGCATGCTACAAGGCTTTCTAGCGGGCTTTTGTAGCATGTTTTACGTTGCAAGAAAGGAAAGCGTGCCATTGCCATATGTGCCTGTATATGTGCTAGCTTCTTCGTGTTTATGTTTATGTATGTGTACAGATAAATATGTGTGATATGTGTGAACATATGTATATGTATTTCTTCAAACGACCAAAAGCATTCATCCCAGTGTTTATCTACATACTGTTTTTTATGTCTGTCAATCGATAGATCTCTCTATCCGTCCCGGTGTACTCGAATACTCGGTGTCTATGTATTCTTCGATCTTTCTATTTATCTAACTGTTAGGTTGTTTATGCATATGTATTCATCGGGATATCTGTTCTAACAGCCCCTATCACAGTGACATTCATCATGCCCCTTAACAAGAAACCAGACTTTGAACACCTGAAAGGGCGCATCAACGCATCAACAGCAGGAACGCCATGCACGCAGGGGTCACTTAGATCATATTCCTCAGTGTCGATGCTGGATGAATAAACCTCGCTGTTTGAGGGCCGCAATCTACGGCTTCTTGTCGTCATCGTAACCTTGATGCAAGGGGGAGGTATCAACCAGAAGTATATATGTACACAGCAACCCAGGAAGATGCAACGATGAAAAACCTACCTAGACACGGACGTCCCTGAATCATCACACCTTTTGGGGTTCCGTTTCACGCTTTGAGATTTTAGCAGTTTCTGGGCTTTGACGTGAAAGACCTGCCTAGATGCTGAATTTAGAAAATCGCAATACCTATGTTCTACATGACCTCCTATTTTAGAGGTCAGTTTAGAATCCACCTGTTGCAGACAAAATTCCGCATGTGAGGGTCTAGGTACGCTCGAAGCCCAGCAAACAGAGGAAGCCTGATAAGCCTCCTTGTCGCATGCGCTGGCTTGAAGAAGCTGTTCGGTGTACTTTAGACTTTGACACCTTCGGATCCCTGAAATCTGCTCGAGGTCTGAACCTGTCCACACGAAGGCTTAGCCCTATAAGATTCTTGCAACCGGCCTAAACATTCAAACCATGGTGGCCTCTACTAACCTCCTTGGCTCTCAACACCTCTGCCATTCCTCGCCCCGAGGCCCGCTGCCTGGATGTTGATCGGCGAAAATGTGCGGATCGCAAGGTCGGACCCATCCTAGGCGTCGATGCTTCCGATAGCAGAAACTTCAGGAGACAGAACTAGGCATGCCGTTTCTTCAACCCTACATCCCTTGAGCTTGGCGTGTCGGGGCCTTGGGGATCAGGACTCAAGACTTATGGTGAATGGCTTTCGGGCTTCATAGGTTAAGCCTCGTGGCAACTCGAGATCCTTACTGGCGGAGCTTGGATCGTAGCTAGTTGTGGCTGTGTGCGGCCTCCACCAGCACGCTCAGGGCAGGGGACAAACGGGCTCCGGTGTGATGCAAAGAAATGCACGTGCAAGTCGTGCGAGAGCTCCGGCAACGCCTCGGTTTCGTGTGGAGCCTGAAGAAGCATTAAAAAACAAGCAGAGGCCTGCTGTTGCTTCTGATAGTGGGCTCTTGACGGCGCTCCAGAGCGGCCGACTTCGGGAGTACACGTGCGATCTGTCAGAATCTCATGTCTGCCTACATTATAGCAAACTATACTATAATGATAGTCAACAGCACACTATAATTTTGGGTGTAGGGTGGAGGTGTTGCCGTCATCTTAAGATGCAGCCGATCCTACAAAAAGCTCCCAAACACCCTAAACCCCAAACCCTGAACCCCTAAACCTAAGCCCAGCAGAGTAAAGGCGAACGCAGGCGGGCTTTGGGCTCAGCTCGCCCTTACAAAGCCCTGAAAGACCCCTTATAAAGGACCGTTACAGAAAGCCTAGTCGCTTCATAGATGCTCTAAAGCCACCAAAGATCTGCAGCGGACTCCGCCCCGAAAGCCTTAGCCACCAGGGCAGTCAGAAGGAGAGGCGCCGAGCGAAAAGCGCATCTCATGGCTTTGGTCAGCGACGGAGGCTGCATCTTTGCTGGAGCCAAGGAGCAAGATTTATGGGATTGGAGCGTTTTGGGGCTTGAGGTTCTTAAAACAGAAAGGTGCAGTTAATGTACAGGTCAAATTCAATCAATCTTCGCCCTTAAAAGTCGAGGCGTCAAAGTCGCGCCTAGGAGTTAGGGCTTAACGTTGATCTAGGCATTCACTGAAATCATCCTTGGACCGATCCCAAGGCATCTAGCTGAGTTCTTTAGAGCTGCCGAAGCTGAAGCCCAACAAGAGAAATCTCTCAAAAGCTCTGCTTGTAGAGTCGTCCGCTTCGGCGGCATGAAAATACCAGCACGCACCCATCAACAACACCGACATTGCTATGGCTATCATGTCATCACAATCCTCACCATCATCATCGACAACTTCGTCTTCACGACGAAGATATCTGCATATATGCTATGTAAAAAATCAACACACCCACACC